TGGTGCACTTAGGAGTCTGTGGAGACAAAGAACTTTGTCCTTGGAGGCAAAGAGGGGAATGTATGAGAGTATAGTTTTACCAACGCTCTTATATGGTTGTGAAGCATGAGTGATGAATGTTGCAACGAGGAGAAGGCTGGAGGCAGTGGAGATGTCATGTCTGAGGGCAATGTGTGGCGTGAATATAATGCAGAGAATTCATAGTTTGGAAGTTAGGAGGAGGTGCGGGATTGCCAAAACTGTTGTCCAGAGGGTTGAGGAAGGGTTGTTGAGGTGGTTCAGACATGTAGAGAGAATGGAGCGAAGCAGAATGACTTCAAGAGTGTATCAGTCTGTAGTGGAAGGAAGGCGAGGTAGGGGTCGGCCTAGGAAAACTTGGAGGGAGGGGGTAAAGGAGGTTTTGTGTGCGAGGGGCTTGGACTTCCAGCGGGCATGCATGAGCGTCTTTGATAGGAGTGAATGGAGACAAATGGTTTTTAATAATTGACATGCTGTTGGAGTGTGAGCAAAGTAACATTTATGAAGGGATTCAGGGAAACCGGCAGGCCGGACTTGAGTCCTGGAGATGGGAAGTACAGTGCCTGCACTCTGAAGGAGGGGTGTTAATGTTGCAGTTTAAAAACTGTGGTGTAAAGCACCCTTCTGGCAAGACAGTGATGGAGTGAATGATGGTGAAAGTTTTTCTTTTTCGGGCCACCCTGCCTTGGTGGGAATCAACCAGTGTGATAATAAAAAAATAATAAAAAATATTTTGGCTATTATTTTTTTTTTCAAAATCATGTTAGGTAGAAGGACACAAGTGCAACTAATGCAACATTTTATTGTGGCAACGTTTCGCTCTCCAGGGGCTTTGTCAAGCCATAATGGCTTGCCACAATAAAATGTCACATTAGTTGCATTTGTGTCGCTTGCCTAACATATTGTAAGTAATTCTACCAACATTATTACAATTCAAACTCAGACATCTTACACACAGATTTTTATAAGTGCATTACATACTGTACATTAAATTTATCTTCATTATATATGTATTCTAGAGTATATTGGGTATGCTAGGAGTTAAATTGTCATTTTTTTTTTATTTCCACTAAATTCCCTAAATATGTAAAGTTTTTCATTACTATAGATATTTCCCAAATAGTTCTTAATCCTTTTGTATTCAAATATTATTTCTTAGCATTATTTGACCCACTAAGAGACTAAAATACTAGTTCTGTATTGATAGAAATCAGTGTATTACCATAACACCAATAGGGTAGTGGTAAAGGTTTGTGTGTTATTTTCAAATTCAAATTACTTTATTTCTTTTATGCAGTATAGAGATAATGTAGTTTACATATAATAAAGAAAGTCCCATGCAACACCTGAGTAACTTGTCAGTGTGTATTATATACTCCACCGTTACTGCTACCGTATTGTATCGGCCAGTGTGATAATAGAAAAATAGATATTCATCCATGGACTTCTAATGTCTTTTTCTTATACAGTGGGATCGCTGTATCCGCAGGTCCGGTTTCCATAGTTTCAGTTATCCACTATTTACTGTTGCCCAAAAATAACCTTTAATTTTGCTGAATAATTGTACCAACAGTGCAAAAGTAGTGATGATGGCAGTTCTTCAAAGCCTAAGAGAAGCTGTGAAGTGCTTCCCATTAGTGAAAAACTGCTCATTCTCCACTTATTGTGCATAATTTATCAATTAAACTTTATCATAGGTATGTATGTAAACAAAGAATGACTTACGTATAAGACTTTGCTACTATCTGCAGTTTCGGGCATCCATGGTAGGTCTTGGAACTAATCTCCCGTTGATATGGGGGTCCTACTGTATATAGATTGTGGTTAACATTATACATTAACTAAATACAGAGTAAACCTGCTCATTATTCATTATAGTCTTACTTCTGCCATCATATAATTTTGTAACTTAATTTTTTAGGACAAAAACTATTGCAGTTTGTATTGATTGTATATATTGTATTGTTTATATTGTTTAACTGTTCTTCAGTGGCAGCAGTATTTAGGGTTTTATATACCTTGTAAACCATATAGAATACCGTATACCATGTTTTGGTTAGTTTTTTGTTTCATGGTTATTCAGCATCTTCAGGGGTTTACATTCTAGTTGGTGATGGTTGCAGCATAGAGGTAATGATGGTAGATCTACTGATCAACTTGACTATTATATAATTATTTCTTACTAGGGTACACACCATGACTCACAAAATCATAATAACACAATTGCAGACAAGCCACGGAATGGGTGGGGTTGAACCTGTTGCAGGTGAGTGGTAAAACTCCAGGCCAGTGTGTAAGCCACCAGCCTGCAGTTTTACCACTCGCTTGCCGTAGGTTTAAACCCCACCCGTACTGTGGTTTATGATACACACACCAGCCCACATTGAGATAACAAAACAAGATGAGAGATGTACAGGCGACCCTGCACTTATGGCCCGATTGGTTGTAGGAAAATCATCGGCAGTTGTGCTGCTGTAAGTCTAACTGGTTTTTTTTCCATGAGGTAAAATGATTAAAATTCATATTAAGTGCTAAACCCATGTAGAGTCATTCAGCACAACACATGGTGGAGGCTCGATCCTCCGTCTGTTGAGAACAAGATAGATGTGCTTCCTATTTTAACAATGTTGTAAGTAGGGGTTTTGTTCCTGGGAACCACTTCTGTTCTTGGGAATCTCTTTTGTGCCCTTAAATCAGTTTGTTCCCTTTTAGGGGCTATCTCGCCAGGAAAAAAAGGGGTGTAGAAAGAGGAGGACGTAAGTCAGGGATCACCTGTACTGTACTTTGTACTTCAGGCTCATACTGAGACCCTCTTCAGTTCGTAGAAGGTCTTACTGTGAGGCTAAAATATGCACTAAGCTTCTTATCCAGTGACAGTACCTATTACCTTTTTGTATTTGGATTATGTGCTTTGTTGTTGATGTTAGCTTGTATGACAAAACACAGTAATACAGTGGACCCCGCCTAACGATATTATTTCAATCCAGAAGTCTGTTTGGGTGCTGTTATAGACCGAATATGCTCCCATAAGAAATATTGTGAATTAGATTAGTCCGTTTCAGACCCCCAAAAAATACACCTACAAAAGCACTTACAAAAATACACTTACATAATTGGTCGAGTTGGGAGCTGATCGTTAGGCGGGGGTCCACTGTATATTTCCTCTGTGTGCTTAGCATCTTAATTTGAGAGTCCCATATGCTGTCATGTCTTTAGCTGCACAGACATTATCAAATAGGTGGTGATCATTTGTACTGAGTGACTATTCAGTGGAGTGATCAGAATTGTAACCCGCAGTCTGGGAGTACTGTCTGCGGTGCAGTGGTCTAAGACATCAAACTAGTAATCCTACACCACAGGTTTGAATCCCGGTCATTTTTCCCTCTTATTACATTGTCTCTCTCTTTGCAACAATCATTTATCCATTCTAGTAACTTGTCTTTGACTCCATTTATTTTTAAATTTATAAGTTAATATTAACAAATTATTGTAGTAACTAACATTGCTCCATCAGCAGAAGTTCAGGTTTTGAACCAGTAATTCGTAAACCTAATATGATTATCAGTGGATAGAGATGTGGTTTTTGTTAATGAAAAATGGATAATAATGAAGTGTATATCTATGAAACATAAAATATAATATGCAAATGTTAACCCATGATACTTAGTGCAAACTGGTAAATGTTAAATTAATTGTGAGTTAAAACTTACTTTGTAATGTGTGTAGTTAGTTATGGAAGGAAGTTTGAATGAATGGTAATATACAGACGGTCCCCACTTATACAGCAGGTTAGGTTCTGGTATTACTGCTGTAAAGTGAAACAGCCTTTTTTTCCCCTTCAAATGTATATAAAAGCCTGATAATATGTTTACACTATCATATAAAGCTAGGCCTAAAAATGCATATACAGTACACACATTACTTACCTTAAAATATTTTTGTTCTTAGTTTATAGTGAGTGGTGAATATTGTAGGAAGTATGAATAAGTGAAGAATGGATATAGTAATTGAAAACCGCTGCATTAGCGAAACACTGTAAAATGGGACCCTCCTGTATAGGAGAATAAAAGAGAGAGAGAAAGTTTGGTAAAGGGATAGTGAGCCAAGGCAGCACTCAGGATGTAGGGAGACTAAATAAACTGTTCAGTTGGATAATTTACTTACAGGGATTATGAACATTGATCTCTGTCATTGTCAGTATGTGAATAAACAACAGGTATTGTAATTCCATCATTTTTTGGTGTAACATTTTTATTGATAAATGAGACACTTCGTGCAGCATTTGGGTATCTTTATTCTGGAATAAAGATTCCCAAAATTTGTACGTCTCGTTTATCAACTTGTCGGGTTTCTAAGTTTTTTGTCCACAACATTATTATTGTCACTGTGTTAAATTTCATTGTTATTTATGAAAGGTAAGTCAATTATTGAGTCAAAATTGTTGACATAATAAAACCTTTTGTTATTTTCATCACTTTTTGTCAAATTTTATTGTAATGTGACTGAACACTCAACTCCATTTATATGCACAAAAAGCATTATTGTACAGTAAGTCATTTTCATACACAAAAAAGCATTATTGTACAGTAAGTCATTTTCATACACAAAAAAACATTATTGTACAGTAAGTCATTTTCATACACAAAAAAACATTATTGTACAGTAAGTCATTTTCATACACAAAAAAACATTATTGTACAGTAAGTCATTTTTATACACAAAAAAAAGCATTATTGTACAGCATGTCTTTTGGTTATTGCAGCATTGTTCCGTTCTGAAAACAACTTTCCTGGTTTCTGGGAGGATGTTACAATATCCAACTTTCATGCATCTTGCACAGTTTTTGTCATGTTATTTGTTATGCTGTACAGTATTAGTACAACAGAATATTCATTAACATTCTTTTTGAATATTGTACCATATTATATTTTTGGAGTATTGTAGTGCAGTAGAGTAGCATTGCTGCTTTTCTTGCCTCTCAGAGTTTGCAGTCTGCAGCCACAATTCTTTTAAATGGAGCCGAGAGACTTCGCACCTCTCAAGCGGAAATGGGTCGGCCGAACCGTGCAGTGCAAGATTTTCACATTGAATTGTTGAGGCTACGGCAAAACTGGCGTTTGAAAAAAATTGGTAACAATATTATAGGAGACCTTTCCTACCGCTCTGCTGGTTCAATGTTTAGACACGTAAGTTTACTAGTGATTTATATTTTGCACTACACTATATTTAGTGTGTATGTATGTCCTATATTGGTAGTAGGTTGGTAGACAGCAACCACCAAGGGGGGTACTACAGTCATGCCAAGTGAGTGTGAAACGAAAGCCTGTAATTGTTTTACATGATGGTAGGATTGCTGGTGTCTTTTGTCTGTCTCATAAATATGCAAGATTACAGGTACGTCTTGCTACTTCTACTTACACTTAGGTCACACTACACATACATGTACAAGCATATATATACACACCCCTCTGGGTTTTCTTCTATTTTCTTACTAGTTCTTGTTCTTGTTTATTTCCTCTTACCTCCATGGGGAAGTGGAACAGAATTCTTCCTCCATAAGCCATGCGTGTTGTAAGAGGCGACTAAAATGCCAGGAGCAAGGGGCTAGTAACCCCTTCTCCTGTATACATTACTAAATGTAAAAGGAGAAACTTTCGTTTTTCCTTTTGGGCCACCCCGCCTCGGTGGGATATGGCTGATGTGTTGAAAGAAAGAAGTATGTCCTGTATGTATGTATGTTTTTTGAACACACCAGCTATCTCTCACCAAAGCAGGGGGACTCAAAAAAAAAGAAATGAAAATTTTCCTTGTTTTTACATCTAGTAAAATATATACAGGAGAAGGGGTTACTAGGCCCTTGCTCCTGGCATTTTAGTGGCCTTTTATGACATACATGACATATGGAGGAAGGATTCTTCTCCACTTCCCCATGGAGATATATGTATGTGTGTGTGTATATATATAATTTTTGCTGATGATACTGTGCTTATGGGAGATTCTAAAGAAAAATTGCAAAGGTTAGTGGATGAGTTTGAGAATGTGTGTAAAGGTAGAAAGTTGAAAGTGAACATAGAAAAGAGTAAGGTGATGAGGGTATCAAATGATTTAGATAAAGAAAAATTGGATATCAAATTGGGGAGGAGGAGTATGGAAGAAGTAAATGTTTTCAGATACTTGGGAGTTGACGTGTCGGCGGATGGATTTATGAAGGATGAGGTTAATCATAGAATTGATGAGGGAAAAAAGGTGAGTGGTGCGTTGAGGTATATGTGGAGTCAAAAAACATTATCTGTGGAGGCAAAGAAGGGAATGTATGAAAGTATAGTAGTACCAACACTCTTATATAGATGTGAAGCTTGGGTGGTAAATGCAGCAGCGAGGAGACGGTTGGAGGCAGTGGAGATGTCCTGTTTAAGGGCAATGTGTGGTGTAAATATTATGCAGAAAATTTGGAGTGTGGAAATTAGGAGGTGTGGAGTTAATAAAAGCATTAGTCAGAGGGCAGAAGAGGGGTTGTTGAGGGGGTTTGGTCATTTAGAAAGAATGGATCAAAGTAGAATGACATGGAAAGCATATACATCTATAGGGGAAGGAAGGAGGGGTAGGGGTCATCCTCGAAAGGGTTGGAAAGAGGGGGTAAAGGAGGTTTTGTGGGCAAGGGGCTTGGACTTCCAGCAAGCGTGCATGAGCGTGTTAGATAGGAGTGAATGGAGACGAATGATACTTGGGACCTGACGATCTGTTGGAGTGTGAGCAGGGTAATATTTAGTGAAGGGACTCAGGGAAACCGGTTATTTTCATATAGTCGGACTTGAGTCCTGGAAATGGGAAGTACAATGCCTGGACTTTAAAGGAGGGGTTTGGGATATTGGCAGTTTGGAGGGATATGTTGTGTATCTTTATACATATATGCTTCTAAACTGTTGTATTCTGAGCACCTCTGCAAAAACAGTGATAATGTGTGAGTGTGGTGAAAGTGTTGAATGATGATGAAAATATTTTCTTTTTGGGGATTTTCTTTCTTTTTTGGGTCACCCTGCCTCGGTGGGAGATGGCCGACTTGTTGAAAATATATATATTTTAATATATATATATATATAATATATATATATATATTATATATATATTTTTTTTTTTTTTTTCAACAAGTCGGCCATCTCCCACCGAGGCAGGGTGACCCAAAAAAGAAAGAAAATCCCCAAAAAGAAAATATTTTCATCATCATTCAACACTTTCACCACACTCACACATTATCACTGTTTTTGCAGAGGTGCTCAGAATACAACAGTTTAGAAGCATACACATATAAAGATACACAACATATCCCTCCAAACTGCCAATATCCCAAACCCCTCCTTTAAAGTGCAGGCATTGTACTTCCCATTTCCAGGACTCAAGTCCGACTATATGAAAATAACCGGTTTACCTGAATCCTTTCACTAAATATTACCCTGCTCACACTCCAACAGATCGTCAGGTCCCAAGTACCATTCGTCTCCATTCACTCCTATCTAACACGCTCACGCACGCTTGCTGGAAGTCCAAGCCCCTTTCCCACAAAACCTCCTTTACCCCCTCTCTCCAACCCTTTCGAGGACGACCCCTACCCCGTCTTCCTTCCCCTATAGATGTATATGCTTTCCATGTCATTCTACTTTGATCCATTCTAAATGACCAAACCACCTCAACAACCCCTCTTCTGCCCTCTGACTAATACTTTTATTAACTCCACACCTTTTCCTAATTTCCACACTCGAATTTTCTGCATAATATTTACACCACACATTGCCCTTAACCCTTTGAGGGTTTTCGTCGTACTAGTACGTTTTACGCATAGGGGTTTTTGACGTACTAGTACGCATAAATTCTAGCGGCCTCAAATCTAGTGGGAGAAAGCTGGTAGGCCTTCATATGAAAGAATGGGTCTATGTGGTCAGTGTGCACAGTCTAAAAAAAATCCTGAAGCACACAGTGCATAATGAGAAAAAAAAAACTTTGACCATTTTTTTGGAATAAATCAGCGACTTTGCAGTGTATTTTCGTATGGTATTTATTGTTGTATTCTAGTTTTCTTGGTCTCATTTTATAGAATGGAAGACATATTACAGAAATTGAGATGATTTTGGCTGGTTTTACAAAGAAAGGTGCCTTGAAATTGAGCTCAAAGTAGCAGAAATGTTCGATTTTTACCAAACTTCAAAAGTAAACAAATCGTGCCAAGCGTCCAATACACGTCAACTGGTGAGTCTAATATTCTTTCACAAGTGCACCAATAATATTTATACCATTTTTTACACTAATGCAGTAGTCTGCATAACAGTAAATCTTATATTTTTTGTGAGAATAAAAATTCAAAATGGAAAGCAAAAGAATATAAGAGGGGCCTTGAGACGTGACTAATGACTAGAGGAAATGTCATTTTAGTGCCAGGAATGTCTTTCTTGTTTATTCTGGACCCTATTCGGAAATTGGCATCTTTTGAAATTTGTGTGAAATTGGCAAAATTGCTAAATTCTGACCACTGTACTGGATAGTTGAATTTCATAAATGGGTGGTTTTCTGCACCATTCGATAGAAAAAATGGAGTTCTAGCGAAATATTCATGTTTTTTGTCGACTAGTACAGCGAAATTGGCCGAAAATGGGGCTCAAAGTGGGCAAAATCGCCGATGCGTAAACATCGCCGAGACCGCTAACTTTGCGAGAGCATAATTTCGTAAGTTTTCTATCAAATTTCAAACTTTTGGTGTCTTATATGATCGGGAAAAGATTCTCTAATCTTTTCATAAGAGAAAATAATTTTTTTTTTTTTAATTTTGCCGACCCTGGAAACGAGTTTCGGAGAGGGCCTGTCGACCCTCAAGGGTTAAACAGGACATCTCCACTGCCCAACCATCTCCTTGCGCTGCATTTTACCACCCAAGCTTCACAACCATATAAGATGTTGGTACTTACATATGATTCCGTACATGTCCTTCTTTGCCTCCATAATAACGATTTTTAGACTCCACATATACCTCAACGCACCACTCTACCATTTTTTCCCTCATCAATTCTATGAATTATACTTAAATATATTATTCATATATATTATTATATAAATATCAATTAATATATATATAGTATTATCATATATTATAATAATATGTATAATATTGCAATAAGATTTCACTAGTAAACAGGTGATTCAAAAATATGCAAAACAACCACTCTCGAAAGAATAGAGAAATTCCAAATATATATAATATAAATATATATACATATATATATATATATATATTATATATTTATAATCTATAATTATATATTATTATATAATATATGTATATATATATATAATTATTAATATTAATTATTTTATATATATATATAATGAAGATTTATAATTTATTTATAATATAATATATATATATAAGTTATATATATATATTATAATTTAGTAATTATATATATTTATAATAATAATATTAATATATTTATTATTATAGAAAGTTTAATTTATAAATATATATATTTGATATAATTGTATAGCATATAAAATATAAAATATTTATATTAGTATAATAAATATTATATATAACTATACAATATTAATTATAAATATTTAAAAATCATAATATAATTATATGATATATAGCATCAGAATAACTATATATAATATTTTATGATAATACTATTATTAAATGAATATATATTATATATTATAATATAAGTTAGAAAATTATATATGATATATTATTACTATTATAACATAATGCATATATGAATTATATATATGTATACACATATTCCATATTGAAATTACTATAAATAATATATATGCTATATATATAATATATACTATATTATATAAATGAACATATTAATAATATTATTATATATATTATATATATATACATTATACTCATATATATATTATATATATATAAAATATATAAATAATATATTTATAATATCATATTATACTAATAATAATATTAAATATTTATAAATACTTAATATATAATTTAAATTATATATATAAATATATATATATATATATATATATATATATATATATATATATATATATATACAGTGGACCCTCGACTAACGCTATTAATCGTTCCTGAGAGCTCATCGTTAGTCAAAATAATCGTTAGTCAAGTTAATTTTCCCCATAAGAAATAATGGAAATCAAATTAATCCGTGCAAGACACCCAAAAGTATTGAAAAAAAAAAATTTTAACACATGAAATATTAATTTTAATACACACAAACTGAAGAAGACATGCACAGTTACATGACACTTACCTTTATTGAAGATCTGGTGATGATTGATGGATGGAAGAGGGGAGTGTGTTGATGGTCTTAGTGTTTTAGAAGGGAATCCCCTTCCATTAGGACTTGAGGTGGCAAGTCCTTTTTCGGGGTTACTTCCCTTCTTTTAATGCCACTAGGACCAGCTTGAGAGTCACTGGACCTCTGTCGCACAACATATCTGCCCATAGAGGCCTGTACTCCCGTTCCTTTATGACATTCCTAAAGTGTTTCACAACATTGTCAGTGTCACCATTAAACACTTGTTCAGGTTTCAGTCCTTCACTGTCTATGTACTCCTTGAATTCCTGCACATATTTTTCAGCTGCTTTTGGTCCAAAACTGGCAGCCTCACCATGCCTTATCACACTATGTATGCCACTACGATTCTTAAATCTCTCAAACCAACCTTTGCTGGCCTTAAATTCACTCACATCACCACTAGTTGCTGGCATTTTTTCTAATTAAATCGTCATGCAACTTCCTAGCCTTTTCACATATGATCGCTTGAGAGATGCTATCTCCTGCTAACTGTTTTTCATTTATCCATACCAATAACAGTCTCTCAACATCTTCTATCACTTGCGATCTCAGTTTCGAAAACATAGTTGCACCTTTGGCAAGAACAGCTTCCTTGATTGCCGTTTTCTTGGCCACAATAGTAGCGATGGTTGATTGGGGTTTTGTGTACAGCCTGACCAGCTCGGAGACATGCACTCCACTTTCATACTTAGCAATGATCTCTCTCTTCATATCCATAGTAATTCTCACCCTTTTTGCTGTAGGGTTGGCACTAGAAGCTTTCTTGGGGCCCATGGTGACTTATTTTGCAGGTGCAATCACTAAAAAGGCTGTGATAATATGAAATGTTCCGATTGTATGCTTGGAAGCGACCGCGGTGGGTGGCTGGCTTGTAAACACTGGCCAGAAGTGGACACGTCACAGACGGAACGAATAGTGTTGGTCGAGTTTTTTAGCGCTAATCGAGGCAAAATTTTTGCGATAAAATGTATCGCTAGTCAGATTTATCGTTAATCGATGCCATCGCGTGTCGAGGGTCCACTGTATATATATATATATATATATATATATATAATACAGTGGACCCCCGCATAACGATTACCTCCGAATGCGACCAATTATGTAAGTGTATTTATGTAAGTGCGTTTGTACGTGTATGTTTGGGGTCTGAAATGGACTAATCTACTTCACAATATTTCTTATGGGAACAAATTCGGTCAGTACTGGCACCTGAACATACTTCTGGAGTGAAAAAATATCGTTAACTGGGGGTCCACTGTATGTATGTATATATATATATATATATATATATATATAATATATATATATATATATATATATATATATATATACATGTACATACATACATACATACATACATACACAGTAAATGTGTATATAGTCATTGAGTTGTGTTTGGAAGGGTTGAGGCTCAGTTCCTGGTCCTTTTTCCTAGACTACTTTGATTGCCATCTGGCTTCTTGGGGTTCATCATATCTAGTCTTGAAGATGTATCAGGTTTGCTTAATATGCTGTAGTTTGTGTACTTCGAGTCTGAAATAGTACTACTACATTACAAAAATTTGACCCCCTTCTGGTATCCTCGTCAGAGGATCCCAGAAAGGGATTCAGAAAGACACAGATCAATTAGTCTTCTGAGTTTCTGTCTCCATGTGGGTTATTAATGAACATCTATATTAATGTTGATAAAACAATACAGTGATTATGTGTGAGTGAGGTGAAAGTGTTGAATGATGATGAAAGTATTTTTGGGGGATTTTCTTTCTTTTTGGGTCACCCTGCCTTGGTGGGAGACAGCTGACTTGTTAAAAAAAAAACATAAAGAAATAGGCCTCTAAAGCAAATTAGCCCAAAATTGGAAGAAAACTTAATATTTGAACTGCAATGAGTGGTATTCTCTTCTGCTACATTCATGAGGGCTTCAAGGAATGTAGGTTTTTGCAAGTGTGTCAGAGCAGTGTACAGTATTCTCTTCATTATATACAGACACTTTCAAAGGAGATGTGTCTTGATGCTGGTGAAGGGCTCTTGATCCAAAGAATCAGTTATGCTACGTAAAAGAACACACACAACTAATACGACATTTTTACTGTGGTGACGTTTTGCGCTCCAGGACCTTTGTCAAGCAGCTACCAACAATAAGGGACACACACAGGGTATATATGTATAGGTATTAGAGTGGGATGTGAAAGCATAATACAGTGAGATGTAAAACAGTTATATTATGCTGTTATATCTCACTCTAATACCACTGGACAAGCACCTAAAGTCAGTACCTGACCAGCCGGGCTGTGGCTCATACGTTGGATTGTGTGCAGCCAGCAGAACCAGCCTGGTTGATCAGGCTCTGATCCACCAGGAGGCCTGGTCACAGACTGGGCCGCTGAGGTGTTGACCCCCTGAACTCTCTCCAGGTAAACTCCAGGTAAACTATATACCCTCTGTGTCCCTGTATTGTTTGTAACGACTTGACAAAGCTCCTGCAGAGCGAAACATTGCCACAATAAAATGCCACATTAGATACACTTGTGTCCTTTTACCTAACATATTGTTGGTAACTCTTCTAATATTATTACAATCAGAGTTATCTTCTCCTTCCATGGGTCAAATCTTATTTCAAAATTCAAAATTCAAAAATTGATTTCTTTGCGTAGTACACAATGTGTAGTTTACATGTAGTAAAATATTATCAAGCACAAAGAAATCTACTAACATACATGAGCATTTCGGGCAGTCCTCAGATGCTGTATAAGGTCTGTGAGTTTAATGCTTGCCCCTGATTATAATAATTATAATAATTAAATATATTATTCCATTTTCCTTTTCAGACTGGAATTTTTGAGGTATCAAAAGCTGATGAAGCATCAGGACCCAATGCTACAGTTGGTCCAGGAGCAGTATCACCTGTGGCCACCGTGCCTGCACGTGGAATACAGTCGTCACTGCGCGTCACTGTTCCCACAGAGTTAATGGGATCTGCATACATTTTTGTGTGTATTAAAAAAGGTTTGTCATTTTGTCCGTGATCAGTATTGTCTTGGTAATACTGAAAGTAAAATAGTTAACGAGTAAAACAAACTCCATGATTTGAATCTTGCACACATCAGTAAATCTTGGCTATTTTATCTCTGTTTCTTTCTGTGGTTCGCATTCATCGAATTTCATATCTATATCTGTATGCTGTACAGCCTCTCCTCACTTAGCGACGTATTCATTTACCAATGACTCAGACTTACGATGGGCTCTCTGACCAGTATGCAAACCTAAATAATGTATATTAGAGCTGATTTTCTCTATTCTCTTTATTACACTACTGTATAAACATTTAAAAATATACTAAAATTGTTATAAATGATGCAAATGTGACATTAAAACATTACCTAAAGATGGTTGACACAAATCCAGTACAGTATGCTCCTCGCTTAACAACCAACTTGTTTACCAACGTAGTCTTAGGAACGGAACCCTGTCGTTAAGTGAGGAGAGGCTGTATTATATTTATTTATAGCATGGACAGATAGATACCTAGAAGATAGGAAGCATATTTAGCATACTCATGGAATCGTAATGACATGATTGCAAACGAACCAGGTACGGGTGGGCTGAACTCACGGCAAGTGAGTGATAAAACTCCAGGCCAGTGTTTAAGCCACTGGGCCATCTGGCTGCAATAAGCTTCATCCAGCTATGTATATTTATACACTACAGGGAGGTTAGCATGGCCACTGGCCTTGAGTTTTACCACTCACTTGCCAGGAGTTCAAGCCCTACCTGTACTGTGGTTTATAATTAACATACAACAGGATATACCATACTGCAAATTGGTTTTAGTGATATTATTGATCTTTTAAAGAATGACCCCACATTATTGGAAATATTTGCTGTCTGGTCAGAGACCCTTTTCAGATGAGTGGGTCTTTCTTATAAATGGCCCATTCATTTGATTATTTCAACGCACAGGTCGTTTCCCACCAAGGCAGGGTGACCTAAAAAGAAAAACGAAAGTTTTTCTTTTACATTTAGTAATTTATACAGGACAAGGGGTTACTAGCCCCTTGGTCCTTTGTTTGATTAATGTATGCTTAAATACATATGCATTTTTTTTATTTTAGATATTGCAGTTAAGCCAAAGTCAAAGATTTATTTCCACAAGCTACAATGTTTGTACAGCAATGGGTGACATTTGGTTGTGCATCCAGAAAGCCCATGGTTCTTTCTTTCTTTCAACAAACTGGCCATATCCCACCGAGGCAGGGTGACCCCAAAAAAAAAAAGCCTCCCTTTTTAAATTTAGTACATACTGTATATAGGAGAAGGGGTTACTAGCTCCTTGCTCCCGGCATTTAAGTCACCTCATACGACATGCACAGCTTATGGAGGAATTCTGTTCCACTTTCCCATGGAGATAAGAGGAAATAAACAAGAACAAGAACTAGTAAGAAAATAGAAGAAAACCCAGAGGGGTGTGTATATATATGCTTGTACATGCATGTGTAGTGTGACCTAAATATAAGTAGAAGTAGCAAGACGTACTTGAAATCTTGCATGTTTATGAGACTAAAAAAGACACCAGCAATCTTACCATCATGTAAAACAATTACAGGCTTTTGTTTTACGCTCACTTGGCAATACGGTAGTACCTCCCTGGGTGGTTGCTGTCTACCAACCTACTACCTAGGAAGCCCATGGTTATATGGAGCATTTTTCTGACCAGAACATTTTACCAAACCTATTTATTTTACATTCTTATTGCTAAAATATTACAGTGTACTTGTTTCACTTCTCAGATGAGGAAGACATCTGCTCAGCTCAGCTAACTAGCAGTGATTTTGTAGCAGGAGATATACCATGGCAGCAGAAACTAGAGAAGGCTCAAAATGTGCTCTTCTGTAAAGAGCTGTTCAACCAGTTGGCAAGGGAGGCTGTCAAGCTCACTCCATCAATACCTCATCTTGTCGTCGGCAACCAGATCACTGCAACGATTTTTCCTGGAATTCATCTTCTCGTGGGTTTATGTCACTCAGATGGAAAAAAGTAAGTAACGTACAGTAGTCATAAGATGTATAAACAGTACTGTATATTTTAAAAAATATATTTATAATGAGATACTGTGGAATATTGTATGTGGATAGCAAAATGATGATAAAAGCTGTTGACTTATGTTAAACCAAAATGTGAGTGTGTAGTGGTGGTATGTTATCATCATAAAAAAAAAGCATGTAAATAAGATAGAAAAAAAAAAGATAGAACAAATTAAAGATAATTTGCAAATACTGTACATATTGAAAAAACTTTCTTTCAACACACTGGCCATATCCCACCAAGGCGGGGTGGCCCAAAAGGAAAAACGAAAGTTTCTCCTTATATATTTAGTAATATACACAGGAGCAGGGGTTACTAGCCTCTTGCTCCCGGCATTTTAGTCGCCTCTTACGACACGCATGGCTTACGGAGGAAGAATTCTATTCCACTTCCCCATGGAGAATTGAAAAAAAAACTTACTGTAATTAGATCCTTCAACACTTTGGCTCAGTAAGTTTGTTTTTTTAGGACGTTAGCCGTTTCCCGCTGTGGCAGGGGTGAACTGATAAAGAAGAAGAAATGCTTTAATCATCATTCACTCCATCACTGTCTTATTGGTATGCCTCTGGTAAGACAGCGATAGAGTGAATGATGATGATGAAGGCATTTCTTCTCTAACAGGTCACCTGCCTTGATGGGAATTGGCCGATGTGTTAAAAAAAAACTTGAGCATGTTATTAAGGCTTTTTCCATAAACACTGCAATTTTAGATACATTTTTTCAGTTGCATTGTTCTAAAAGAGACTTTTACTCTTTTACAAGATGTAATATTTGATATATAAAATAGTTTTCTTTTAAATACTGAAGATAGTGAGGCTCAAGTTAGAGTATGTAGGAAAGAGGGAAATTATTTCCCAGTAAAAGTAGGCCTTAGACAAGGATGTGTGATGTCACTGTGGTTGTTTAATATATTTATAGATGGGGTTGTAAGAGAAGTAAGTGCGAGGGTCTTGGCAAGAGGCGTGGAGTTAAAAGATAAAGAATCACACACAAAGTGGGAGTTGTCACAGTTGCTCTTTGCTGATGACACTGTGCTCTTGGGAGAATCTGAAGAGAAGTTGCAGAGATTGGTGGATGAATTTGGTAGGGTGTGCAAAAGAAGAAAATTAAAAGTGAATACAGGAAAGAGTAAGGTTATGAGGATAACAAAAAGATTAGGTGATGAAAGATTGAATATCAGATTGGAGGGAGAGAGTATGGAGGAGGTGAATGTATTCAGACATTTGGGAGTGGACGTGTCAGCGGATGGGTCTATGAAAGATGAGGTGAATCATAGAATTGATGAGGGGAAAAGGGTGAGTGGTGCACTTAGGAGTCTGTGGAGACAAAGAACTTTGTCCTTGGAGGCAAAGAGGGGAATGTATGAGAGTATAGTTTTACCAATGCTTTTATATGGGTGTGAAGCATGGGTGATGAATGTTGCAGCGAGGAGAAGGCTGGAGGCAGTGGAGATGTCATGTCTGAGGGCAATGTGTGGTGTGAATATAATGCAGAGAATTCGTAGTTTGGAAGTTAGGAGGAGGTGCGGGATTACCAAAAACTGTTGTCCAGAGGGCTGATGAAGGGTTGTTGAGGTGGTTCGGACATGTAGAGAGAATGGAGCAAAACAGAGTGACTTCAAGAGTGTATCAGTCTGTAATGGAAGGAAGGCGGGTAGGGGTCGGCCTAGGAAAGGTTGGAGGGAGGGGGTAAAGGAGGTTTTGTGTGCGAGGGGCTTGGACTTCCAGCAGGCATGCGTGAGCGTGTTTGATAGGAGTGAATGGAGACAAACGGTTTTTAATACTTGACGTGCTGTTGGAGTGTGAGCAAAGTAACATTTATGAAGGGATTCAGGGAAACCGGCAGGCCGGACTTGAGTCCTGGAGATGGGAAGTACAGTGCCTGCACTCTGAAGGAGGGGTGTTAATGTTGCAGTTTAAAAACTGTAGTGTAAAGCACCCTTCTGGCAAGACAGTGATGGAGTGAATGATGGTGAAAGTTTTTCTTTTTCAGGCCACCTTGCCTTGGTGAGAATCGGCCAGTGTGATAATAATAATAATAATACTGAAGACTACATTAGTCATTGTGTCATAATTTAGGTGAAAGTAGAATTATTGATTGTAATTTTGTGTTTCAGTAATGTCCGCGGTAAGGCCACTGCTGGTCAGGGGCCTCCTGTCGTTGGTGGACAAACCAGCAATGTGGTTGGAGGTGGTAGTGGTAGTGGTGGTTTAGGCCCTGCAACTGTTGGAGGTCCTGGACCCTCAAAGTACAAGCATGAGCACGACCTGGAACACTCGCTTCACCAGCTGCTGCACCGTGTGTACCACCACAGCTTCCAGCACCCACTTCCCCACCCAGTCTATGCACCAATGGGCATGAGTAAGCGCAGGAGGGCAGCTGGACCAGAAGGAATGGATAAAAACCAGGTATGCTAACACAGTACAGGTGCTTCTCAACCTACAATGGGATTACGTTCTGACAAACCCATCGTAAGTAAACAATTTTATTTCTATGTGTAGTATACAAAGTGTAATTCAAATGTAATATAATATTGTTAAGCACCAAGAAAGCCACTAGCATGCATGAGCATCTCAAACAGACTAATCCTAATGCTTACACACTACTTAAGATTAGCTGTAGGTTATTGAGAGGTAAATTTTAATTATGTATTACATATTACAAAAGAGAAAGTATCTTAAGTCATACATGAGTTTCTTTTCATTTTTCAATGAACCGGCCATATCCCACCAAGGCAGGGTGACCTAAAAAGAAAAACAAAAGTTTTTCTTTTTAAATTTAGTAATTTATACAGGAGAAGGGGTTACTAGCCCCTTGTTCCCCTTGCTCTTACAACACACATGGCTTACACAGGAAGAATTCTTCTCCACTTCCCCACGGGGCTGAAAGTGAATGTGATGTAGTACATAAATAAATAATTACTGTCAGTGAATAAGGAAATAAACAAATAATTACTGTAACTAACTAAATACCAGTGTTGAAAATTAAATAAATGAATACAAGTTGTGGACTTGTTGCCTTTATGTTGGGTAATTTTCTTAAGTTTCATCTCCTAAGTAATTGCTTTTGCACCATCATAAAGTAGAAATATTGTAAGTTGAGGAGCACCAGTATACTGGTGCAACTCTGTAATGTCTAAATCCTGAAACTGCTGTTAATGGGAAAATTTGCTTGTCCAGATAATTTAACATTTATTAGAAGAAATTCAGGGAAACCGGCAGGCCGGACTTGAGTCCTGAAGAGGGAAAGTACAGTGTCTGCACTCTGAAGGAGGGGTGTTAATGTTGCAGTTTTATAACTGTAGTTAAAGCCCCCTTTCTGGCAAGACAGTGATGGAGTGAATGACTATGAAAGTTTTTCTTTTTCGGGCCACCCTGCCTTGGTGGGAATCAGCCGATGCGTTAATAAAAATAAATAAAATAGAAGGAATGCATTCCATTGAATGAGATCCTATGGTTAGTTTTCAAACTTTGGAGTCATGTACTAAGCAGAAAGACTCTGGCCACCAAGGTGAAACACAAAATATCAAAGTTATCTCCAGAATAGTTGTTGGTAAAAAAATTTTAACACCTTGGTCATCTCCCGCCAAAGCAACCCGACAAGGACAACCCAACAAGGAAACACTTTCACCATCATTGCTGTAGATAAAAATGTTACTGTATAATCAATCCACATTATGAAGCGTATGAATTCCAGGGTTCGCTTGTACATACAGTACAGGTTGGCCATCACTAATCCAGCAGTCAGTAATCCGGTACCCTACAGGTCTCGGTGATGCTGGATTAGTGATGGTCAACTTGTACTATAGTACAAATATGACAGTATAATTTTTAGGAATTTTTCTTCATTTCAACGTGGAATAAGTAAAGTTCAGCGGTACATTTTATTGAATTGATGCTCAGAAGCCATAATAAAATGGCAGTAATATCCAAGTAATTAGCACAATTTTACATTTGTGTTTATGGAAATGTAACAAGGTATTGTCTCTGAAATAGTATGGTCTACCATGAAGAACAAAAAGTCACAATACTGTGACTGGAACAATACACAAACAACCCACACATAGGAAAGACAAACTTATGATGGCGTTTCAGTCTGACTTGGCCAATTAACTAGTCACACACTGGTTTATGACTGGTTAATGGTCCAAGTCGGAGTGAAGTGTCGTCATAAGTTTGTTTCTCCTGTGTGCGGGTTATTTGTGTAATGATCTGCTATTGCCCATCACCTCCCGCCCTCACCCACCCGAGGACTACACACGCCCACGCAGCCTAGCGCATTCCACGGAAGGGACACGGAGACACGCCGGTCCGAGCTCGGTTCGGGAGGCAGCCGCAGCAGCAGCAGCAGCAGGAGCAGCAGAAGCTGTTGTGACACACACCTCTGACTGGCTGACTGACTAACTGACTGACTGAAGACTGCCTGATGTTCCTTCGCCTTGCCCAGTCCTGCGCCCGAGCCCAGGCCCGCTTCCTGCACAGGCCCGACTGGCCCGACCCTCAGAGCCAATCCTTATCCCGAAGTTACGGATCTAACTTGCCGACTTCCCTTACCTACATTAATCTATCGTCCAGAGGCTGCTTACCTTGGAGACCTGATGCGGATATGGGTACGCACAGGACCGAAATAGGGGGCCATTAGCGGGCACTGAGCAAGCAGCAACAGTGGTCCCGACTCAGCCGGAGTTTGGACCAGCCTCGCGTTTTCACGGACCGGCGGTGGCACTCGGGAGGCTCTGAGGGTCGGGCCAGTCGGGCCTGTGCAGGAAGCGGGCCTGGGCTCGGGCGCAGGACTGGGCGAGGCGAAGGAACATCAGGCAGTCTTCAGTCAGTCAGTTAGTCAGTCAGCCAGTCAGAGGTGTGTGTCACAACAGCTTCTGCTGCTCCTGCTGCTGCTGCTGCTGCGGCTGCCTCCCGAACCGAGCTCGGACCGGCGTGTCTCCGTGTCCCTTCCGTGGAATGCGCTAGGCTGCGTGGGCATGTGTAGTCCTCGGGTGGGTGAGGGCGGGAGGTGATGGGCAATGGCAACGGCGACATAAAGCCGCCAGCAGCAGCCAATGATCTGCTATGTACAGACATGCTTGCACTTACCAGCACTATACTCACCCTCATACTCCTGTTGCTGGAGAGGCAGGATGCAAGGAGGTAATAAGAATACAACATGCTTTCACTGCAGTATTGAAAGTTTATAAGTCACTGATATATGTAATGTGCATTGACTGTTCCTTATAATTAATGACAGGATTTGATAAATGACATGCTTGCTTACATGACAGATTTAATGTGTTTCAGATCATCTCATATCTATAGCATTCAGAAAAACTTAACCCCTCCACCCCATACTTTTTTAATGCATCAGTTACTTCCCACCAAGTAAGGATGACTCAAAAACAAAAAAGGAGCATCTTTTATCATTACTCATTCATTAGCTGTCTTGGGAGAAGAGTGCAGACAGTACAGTTCAAATGACTGTCTGAATTGCAACATCCCCTGTGTAGAAAAAAACACTGGTTATTGTGGAATTTATGAATACTGAATGTATGTACAGCTAGGTCTTGATTAGTGTGAGTTCAAATAGTGCGAATTCCACTTTAGTGCAAAATTAATTAATGCTAGTTTTCCCCCAAACTCTCCATATCGTGAGCAAAAATTACATATACAGTGGTACCTCAAGTTATGAACTTAATTCGTTCAAGAAGGCTGTTCGAATGTCGATACCAACTGAATTTGTTCCCATAACGAATAATGTAAATTAGATTAGTCCATTTCAGACCACCAGAAATACACTTACAAAAGCACTTACAAAAATACACTTACATAATTGTTTGAGTTGGGAACTGTACGAAACTCAAGGTACCACTGTAATTCAAATAGTGCAACCACTTAATGTGATTCATTATTCGCACTAATCGAGACCTGACTATATTTAAGTATGGAATTATCATGTGTTAACATGTTTACTTTTTGTTGTTCACAGGTGATCAGCTTGATGAAGGAGCAGACTTTGCTGGAACAAATAATACGACAAGTACAACACAATTTTCTTAGACTAAGGACCATGTATGTGATTGATCAGTTGGCTGCGGAGTTTAAGGACCCTCTCATTGTCTCCCACTGGAATGCTTTCAACTCACCCACCCAATCATGTGTAAAAATAAACATAGTCACGCAGGGATATGACAGTGTATTACGGACAAAGTTGGTGATTCACATCTTTGAAAGAACATTAAAGTGCATTTGTAGAGACGGTAAAATCATGACCATGTCCTTTGAGCCGCAGGAACTGAGGAACTTGATACTTTGCCAGATCTCTCAGCATAATATGGCTGCTTTGCAAGCTCTGGCCAAGTACACTGGATGGACACTTTTGTCATCTGAGCAAAACATTGGAACTGGTGCAATAGAGCCACTTGGCAATGCTTCGACAGTGATGCTGGCCTCGCCCTCGGGAAACAAGGTTATCGGAGTTCATTCGGGTCCCCATCAAAGAGTTTCAGTCTATGTGTCATCGTCACCTCGCCCTGATTTTTATCCATCTACCGTGGTGATGGAGCAGAGATGGGAACACCTAGGATCTAACTGGCAAGAAGTTCGACTTGACCGTATGGAAGGAAGAAACTTCCTGAATAAGATGGAGCTACTGATGGCAGCACTCACTGCATGAAGTTATCTAAACTAGAGAAACAATTACTTCCTCATATTGAGAATGTAATAAAGGAAATATTTATGTTCAATATATTAATTACCATACATGTAAGAAAGATGTACAGAGTATTTCATTTTTTTTAATACATGCCATTTCCCACTAAGGAAAAGTGATTCAAAGAAGGAAAACATGTTTACATATCTATTTATCTATATATAACCAGTGAATTCTCCCCATTATCAAAAAGACACACACACACATGCAAGAATTTTCATGATAAAAATCATCACAACAAAACATCATGCATTCATCCATACTCACATCTAAACTTTTCCCAGACTTTTACTTACCCTCTTCCCAGTATACTTTCTCAACTAATTAAGCCGCTACATCTCCCATCACTGCCCTGTTTTTTCCGCCGATGTCCTCCCTCTATGCCTGCACCTCTTCTCCCTTTACCATCTTTATTTTTTAAGCTCTAAATCAAACTTGCTGGATCATTATCAAGTCTCAACTTTTTTATTATCACTTATGTGTTCTCCACATTCACTTATTTCCCAAGTTTCTCTTTGTCTTGTAAAGCCATCTTTCTCTGTTTATATATCTGTTGATAATTATTTATCTGTTTGTCTTTTTTAGCCATTCTTATTGTTTACTGTATATTGTTCCTTTTCATTTATCTCTTTTTTTATATAGGCTTTCTTTCTCTGTTTATATATATGTTCATTATCATTTATTTCTCTTCTTGCTTGTTTTGTTCTTAAAAATTACTTTTAATTTGTACTTTTCCTTCTAACAGTGTTCCAGATTGCTTCATACTTGTCTCAAAGTACGTCATAATCCTTTCAAAAGTTTTTACCACCACCATTCTTACTTCTCATCACAGTACAGCATCTACCATATTCTTCTCTCGGATACCTCTCAGTTATCTCTCAACCCATTTCATATACAGTACTGTGTGCTGCTTAACATCGGTACTTTCTTGGTCAATAAATGAGACACTTGGGCGACATTTAGGTATCTTTATTCTGGAAACATTTCTCCAGCTAGTGGCTTCTTCAGTCCAGTATGGAGATCTGTTTCCAAAATAAAGATAAATGTTGCACAAGTGTCTCATATATCAACCTGTCAGTTTTCTAAATCATTTATTCACTTTACAGGTCACTAAACCTAACTAACCCTTCCTAAATTTCCTTCTTCCCATTTTAAGCATTCCAAATTTTCTTCTTTTATTGCAAGCATTCTAAATTTTCTTCTTCCCATTTTAAGGATTCTAAATTTCCTTCCTACTTGTTGCTCTCTAAATTTCTTCCTTCCTCTCTGTCCACCAACTCAAAACATTCATCAGGTTTTCCGCTGAAGGCACCACATTTCCACAATAGTGTTTTGTACTCTTATAAATAGTGAATGGTATGTCAACAGTTGTATGTTCAATTTAGAAAAAACTATGGAATGTCCGGTTCAGGAAGACAATAGGAAAATTATAGGAAAAAGTACAAATTATATTACCAAAACAATGACTTATTGTACTGAACTGTTAATGTGAAATCATGTTACAGCATCTGATTTTGTTTGAATGTAAATTATAGTGTTTCTTAATAAAATACAGAAGTTAAACCTGATTTGTGTCTTTATGTCCTATTCCAAGAGAATCACTGAAGGGTTTGTGAGGCAAAGAAGATGTAAAAAATTGGAACTACCTTCCGAGAGAGAGAGAGAGAGGAGGACTGGGGAGCTAGTATGAGTGAACGCGCTCCAGCATAATATTGAATTCGATTGCTTCCTGTGTCCTTGGGTGCTGTATGATCCCTATCGGTTTAGCACTTCCTTGAATGAAATAATCATGATATTAGCAGTTTGGAGGGATATATTGTGTATTTTTATACGTATATGCTTCTAAACTGTTGTATTCTGAGCACCTCTGCAAAAACAGTGATTACGTGTGAGTGAGGTGAAAGTGCTGAATGATGACGAAAAGTATTTTCTTTTTGGGGATTTTCTTTCTTTTTGGGTCACCCTGCCTCGGTGGGAGACGGCCGACTTGTTGAAAAAAAATAAATAATAGCGTAACAGTAATGATAATCATAATTCTATCGGTCTTGCATCAACTCATATGGGTTTATTGCTTTTATTAACAACAATACAGTTTTACTTGCTGTTATAGTCCTTCCCATAGCTCTAGTTCCTGGGCTCTATAACTGTAATGTTATACAGATATCCATTAATTTGGTGATATCGACTAATTTGATGATATCACTAGTAATTTGGAGATATCAACTGTAATGTGATGATATCAACAGTCATTTTGAGATAGCGACTGTAATTTGATGATATCAACACTAATTTGGTGATGGCGACTCTAATTTGGTACCATCTGGTACCAAATGTAATTGATAATATCAATTATAATATAGTGATATCAACTGTAATATGGTGATATTAATTATTAATTTAGCAATATCGATTGTAATGTGGCTATATCAACCCTGCTGGGGAGGTTCATTGATGCCAGTAAGGAGGTTTTGATCCAAGGAATTGGACCTGCTTTCTTTCTTGAATTGAATATGATTGCCTCTCATTACCCCCCCCCCCATGGCACTGTATCATTATGACTTCTATGGGTTCAGCACTCCCCATGAATGCATTAACACTGTCCCTTCTAAGGGAGGCACCTTGCTGCCTGAGAAGGGTTCTCGATCCGACGAATAAGAGCCACCCTCTTCCTCGGATCATACCTGTTTACTAGCACCAAAAATGACCCACATGGGTTTAGTGCTTCATGTAAATACAATAACCACATGATGTAATAATTAGACTTATGAACAACATTACCAACTGAGTCTTGACCCGCATCTTTAGGTTCTTCATGTTCAAAACATGTTCTGGGTCAACCCTCATTTCCTCCTATTTTCCCAGGGCACAGACTGACCCTCAAGGGTTTAGCACTCCCTCCATGAAAACCATAAATGCAGGAAACAGTGAAAAGATCCCAGAGGCGCATAACGGGGTCCAGAAGCTGAGCCCCAACATTTGTGTTAGCCGAGTAAGTTACATTACTAATAATATATACATATAAATATTATGGGTTCGGCGCTTAGTTATGATTACAATAACAATATATACAATTTACGGACTTGTAAAACAAATGTTATAAATTATTTACACAGCCATGAACTTAATAACACAAACATTACAATGTTACTAATTTGTGGTCATAATTCTGCAATAAACTATTTCTCTGCTAAGTTATGACTGTATTTAGGCGATTTACAAGAAGTATTAACAGCAGACAAATTTACACACACAAACATATATATATAATATATATATATATATATATATATATATATATATATATATATATATATATATATATATATATAATATATATATATATAAATTTGGATCATGATACAGGGAATTCTACGCTGCCTGACTTATAGTCATGGCTTGCTTCCACCTGTGGATTTATCCAAGGTGACACCGCCTACGACTGCTTCACCTCACCCGTCTGCAGTATACAACCCTAGTGGGTTTAGCGCTTCTTTTTTTATTATAATAATGCAGTATATAAGCCCCTTCGCACATGTGATGTATTCTTATCAAGACTGATGGACTGATTACTTCGACTCCAAGCTGAGGGACTGATTACTTCGACTCCAAGCTGAGGGACTGATTACTTCGACTCCAAGCTGAGGGACTGATTACTTCGACTCCAAGCTGAGGGACTGATTACTCCTCACCATTCTTCTTTGTATTGGACTGATGAAGCCACTGTGTGGCGAAACGTTTCCACGATATAAATACCCAAATATTGCACCTGTGCTTAATTTTGCAACTTGTCAGTTCTCTCAACTATTTATCTACACTATTAACCCGTGTTCACCTAGCAGTAAGTAGGTGCCTTGGTGGTGTTAGTTGACTGTTGTGGGTAGCATCTCGGGGAAGGTGCGATGGAATTCAGTGGAAATAAGCCACACACACTACCTGGCTTCTTTTGGGTTATCCTGGGTTACCAGCCGCCTAGGTTGACTAATCCAAATATTTGTCTTCCAGTTCATAAAGTTAGAGAGAGAGAGAGAGAGAGAGAGAGAGAGAGAGAGAGAGAGAGAGAGAGAGAGAGAGAGAGAGAGAGAGAGAGAGAGAGAAATAGACAGACAGACAGTCAGACAGAAAACCAGAGAGAGAGAGAGACAAATAGACAGACAGACAGTCCGACAGAAAACCAGAGAGAGAGAGAGAGAGAGAGAGAGGGAGAGAGAGAGGAGAGAGGGAGAGAGGAGAGAGAGAGAGAGAGAGAGAAGAGAGAGAGAGAGAGAGAGAGAGAGAGAGAGAGAGAGAGAGAGAGAGAGAGAGAGAGAGAGAGAGAGAGAGAGAGAGAGAGGTGCGGTAGTAGCTTTGTGTTCAGTGAGAGTCTTGGTCTTGGGGGGGCCAGACGCACTCTCTAACACCTGCTGTGTCAGCCTGGGTGAGACACTTCATCTCTGCTGTGTAGATACACTTGACTCCCCCACCAGGCTCTCTCACACATCTTAACCACTGGAATTTTACAATGGTGATGACTGTGCAGTGACACATATATATTAAACTATCCAAACATTATGAAGTGAAACGGGGCTTGATTATCGCCATACATATAAACACATTTATATATATAAATACACATTTACATATGTGTATCCTCATATATATATTTAATATTTTCTAATTTGGTTTTGAAACCTGGTTACATTATTCTGAAATGTAATTTATCAGTCGAATTTGCATAATTGTACTTAATTTGCATAAATATTAATATTCATGAGTATATATATTACTTTAGCTGGATAAACAATCCCCGTTTGATTGTAATAAGCGAAGGTACTGTAGGTAGTGTTGAGTCAAGTGCCGGTAACAGTGTTCTCAGTGGATACCATAGTGAAGTTAGGTACCCAGGTCCCTGGTCCAGGTCCTTGGCTCAGGTCCCTGTCATTAAGGTGATCCTTGATCCAGGTCCCCGTCTGTGAGGTGGTCCTTGGCTCAGGTCCCGGTGATTAAGGTGATCCTTGATCCAGGTCCCCGTCTCTGAAGTGGTCCTTGATCAGGTCCCCGTCTCTGAAGTGGTCCTTGATCAGGTCCCCGTCTCTGAAGTGGTCCTTGATCAGGTCCCCGTCTCTGAAGTGGTTCTTGATCAGGTCCCCGTTTCTGAAGTGGTCCTTGATCAGGTCCCCGTCTCTGAAGTGGTCCTTGATCAGGTCCCCGTCTCTGAAGTGGTCCTTGATCAGGTCCCCGTCTCTGAAGTGGTTCTTGATCAGGTCCCCGTTTCTGAAGTGGTCCTTGATCCAGGTCCCCGTCTGTGAGGTGGTCCTTGGCTCAGGTCCCCGTCTGTGAGGTGGTCCTCGATCCAGGTCCCCGTCTGTGAGGTGGTCTCTGACTCAGGTCCCCGTGTGCGACGTGTAGAGTGGTCCCTGACCTGCAAGATGCCGCCAGCGTCCTGCTGGATACTGGGTCTCCTGGCTACCCTCCTGGCGTCAGCACTGGCTGACGCCAACACGTGCCCTCCAGAGTGCACGTGCTCTGGTCTGACTGTCAGCTGTGGGCACCGTGGCTTAACACGTGTTCCGCGGCACCTGCCTCATGACGCGCAGCGCATGTGAGTACTATGCACTAACAGCGCATGCTAATATTATTTTCCACGCACACATAATGAAAGATCTAAACCCGAGTGGGTTATGGAGCTCTACACCGAAAATTAATTATAAGCACACACATACACGGACAGGAGCTGTGACTCGACCCTTGCAGCCACATTAAGTGAGCACATACACATGCATTACTACTACAACAACAGCTGCTACTACAGGTTAAGCACCACACTGGATCAAGGAATACATAACAGGAAGGAAACAACGAGTGATGGTCCGTGAAGAGGTGTCGAAATGGGCGGATGTGTGGAGTGGGGTTCCACAAGTGTCAGTACTAAGACCGGTAATATTTTTCTTGTTTACTAACATGCATATATTACTATGTATGATAATTGTACTTGTGTGTACCTGTGCCTAAATAAACTTAATTAGCTCTATTAATAATAATACTAATAATAATATTTACTTCTTCATGATACAACTTATACAGACCATAGCTGACATCAGTGACATACTACCATGTAGGTCAATTTTGTCCCCAGGATGCGACCCACACCAGTCCACTAACACCCTGGAGGCACCTAGTTTACTGCTAGGTGAGCATGGACAACAGGTATCTTAAGGAAACACGTCATAATGTTTCCACCCATACCAGGGATCGAGCGACGGCCCTCAGTGTATGAACTGAATGCGCTACCAACCCAGCTACGGGACATCGTACTAACATGTACCTAAATAAACTTATTTAGGTACTCATTAAAGCCATCCTGTGGGCGGAAGTAGAAAGTTTAGAGCCGGGATCTAAACCTTAAGATTATTTTGGCCTTTAAAGATCCAGTGGTAACATATTTACGGCAGATTTGGTTACAAGGTGTTGATTTTTGGGATAATTTGTCATCGTGGACGAGACCGTCCACAAACTAGCCACTGTCAGCCATCAGTAATAATTTGTAACTGTATTTTATGATAGTTTCTTGGGGCTGAAGGCAGATAGTGGCGGCCGGGTGGTGTAACCGGGTGGGGTAGATTGATGGAATGGTCGGGTGGGTTGTCTGGACGGGTGAGTGGGTGGGTTGTCCGGGTGGGTGGGTGGGTTTGTCCGGGGGGGGGGTTTTATAGGCTTACAGCAGCGTCCTGTCCCACAGCTCTGCACTTCCCTCTTGGATTCATAGGAAGAAGAAAAAACTCCTGGGTAGTAGTACATCCGCATCACAACTGGTTCAGCACCACTACTACTGCTGCTGCTGATACTGCTGATACTGCTGCTGCTGATATTGCTGCTGCTGATACTGCTGATACTGATACTGCTGATACTGCTGCTGCTGATACTGCTGATACTGATACTGCTGGGTAAATGCTGCTGCTGATACTGCTGAAATACTGATACTGCTGATACTGCTGATGACTGCTGCTGCTGATACTGCTGATACTGATACTGCTGATACTGCTGATACTGCTGCTACTGATACTGCTGATACTGATACTGCTGATACTGCTGCTGCTGATACTGCTGCTGCTGATACTGCTGCTGCTGATACTGCTGCTGCTGATACTGCTGCTGCTGATACTGCTGATACTGCTGCTGCTGATACTGCTGATACTGATACTGCTGCTGCTGATACTGATACTGCTGAAACTGATACTGCTGATACTGATACTGCTGATACTGATACTGCTGATACTGCTGCTGCTGATACTGCTGATACTGATACTGCTGATACTGATACTGCTGATACTGCTGCTGCTGATACTGCTGATACTGCTGATACTGATACTGCTGATACTGATACTGCTGATACTGCTGCTGCTGATACTGCTGATACTGCTGCTGCTGATACTGCTGTTCTGATACTGCTGCTGCTGATACTGCTGATACTGCTGCTGCTGATACTGCTGATACTGATACTGCTGCTGCTGATACTGCTGCTGCTGATACTGCTGCTGCTGATACTGCTGCTGCTGATACTGATACTGCTGATACTGCTGCTGCTGATACTGCTGTTGCTGATACTGCTGCTGCTGATACTGATACTGCTGATACTGATACTGCTGATACTGCTGATACTGATAATGCTGATACTGCTGCTGCTGCTGATACTGCTGTTGCTGATACTGCTGCTGCTGATACTGATACTGCTGATACTGATACTGCTGATACTCCTGATACTGATACTGCTGATACTGCTGCTACTGATACTGCTGATACTGATACTGCTGCTGCTGCTGATACTGCTGTTGCTGATACTGCTGCTGCTGCTTCTGATACTGCTGATACTGATACTGCTGCTGCTGATACTGCTGCTGATACTGCTGCTGATACTGATACTGCTGCTGCTGATACTGCTGATACTGATACTGATACTGCTGATACTGATACTGCTGCTGCTGATACTGATACTGCTGATACTGATACTGCTGATACCGATACTGCTGATACTGCTGCTGCTGATACTGATACTGCCGATACTGATACTGCTGATACTGCTGCTGCTGATACTGATACTGCTGATACTGATACTGCTGATACTGCTGCTGCTGATACTGATACTGCTGTTACTGATACTGCTGCTGCTGATACTGCTGATACTGCTGCTGCTGATACTGCTGCTGCTGATACTGCTGCTGCTGTTACTGATACTGCTGCTGCTGACACTGATACTGCTGATACTGCTGCTGCTGATACTGCTGCTGCTGATACTGCTGCTGCTGATACTGCTGCTGCTGATGCTGCTGATACTGCTGCTGCTGATACTGCTGCTGCTGATACTGCTGCTGCTGTTACTGATACTGCTGCTGAATGTCTGCTGCCTGGCTGATTTCTGCTGCTGCTGATACTGCTGCTGCTGATACTGCTGCTGCTGATACTGCTGTTACTGATACTGCTGCTGATGATACTGCTGCTGCTGATACTGCTGCTGCTGATGCTGATACTGCTGCTGCTGATACTGCTGCTGCTGATACTGCTGCTGCTGATACTGCTGCTGCTGTTACTGATACTGCTGCTGATGATACTGCTGCTGCTGATACTGATACTGCTGCTGCTGATACTGCTGCTGCTGATACTGCTGCTGCTGTTACTGATACTGCTGCTGATGATACTGCTGCTGCTGATACTGCTGCTGCTGATGCTGATACTGCTGCTGCTGATACTGCTGCTGCTGATACTGCTGCTGCTGTTACTGATACTGCTGCTGCTGATACTGCTGCTGCTGACACTGCTGGTGCTGATATTGCTGCTGCTGATACTGCTGCTGCTGATACTGCTGCTGCTGATACTGCTGATACTGCTGCTGCTGATACTGCTGCTGCTGATACTGATACTGCTGCTACTGCTGCTGCTGATACTGCTGCTGCTGTTACTGATACTGCTGATACTGCTGCTGCTGATACTGCTGCTGCTGATATTGCTGCTGCTGATACTGATACTGCTGATACTGCTGCTGCTGATACTGATACTGCTGTTACTGATACTGCTGATACTGCTGCTGCTGATACTGCTGCTGCTGTTACTGATACTGCTGATACTGCTGCTGCTGATACTGATACTGCTGCTACTGCTGCTGCTGATACTGCTGCTGCTGTTACTGATACTGCTGATACTGCTGCTGCTGATACTGCTGCTGCTGATATTGCTGCTGCTGATACTGCTGCTGCTGATACTGCTGCTGCTGATACTGCTGCTGCTGATACTGCTGCTGCTGATACTGCTGCTGCTGATTTCTGCTGCTGCTGTTACTGTACTGCTGAAAATCTGCTGTTGCTGATACTGCTGCTGCTGATACTGCTGCTGCTGTTACTGATACTGCTGATAGTGCTGCTGCTGATACTGCTGCTGCTGATGCTGATACTGCTGCTGCTGATACTGCTGCTGCTGATACTGATACTGCTGCTACTGCTGCTGCTGATACTGCTGCTGCTGTTACTGATACTGCTGATACCGCTGCGCTGATACTGCTGCTGCTGAATGTGATACTGCTGCTGCTGATACTGCTGCTGTGATATGTACTGCTGCACTGCTGCTGCTGGGTATTGCTGCTGCTGATTTCTGATACTGCTGCTACGCTGCTGTGATACTGCTGCGCTGTTTCTGTACTGCTGATACTGCTGCTGCTGATACTGCTGCTGCTGATACTGCTGCTGCTGATACTGCTGCTGCTGTTACTGATACTGCTGATACTGCTGCTGCTGTTACTGATACTGCTGATACTGTTGCTGCTGATACTGCTGCTGCTGTTACTGATACTGTTGATACTGCTGCTGCTGATACTGCTGCTGCTGATACTGCTGCTGCTGTTACTGATACTGCTGATAATGCTGCTGCTTTACTGGATACTGCTATACTGCTGTGTGATTTCTGCTGCTTTCTGGATATGCTGCTGCTTGATAAATGCGCTGTGATACTGCTGCCCGCTGATACTGCTGCTGCTGTTACATACTGCTGCTGTGTTACTGATACTGTGATACTTGCTGATACTGTTTCTATACCGCAGCTGCTGCCGCTACTGTTTCTACTATTTCTACTGCTTAACTACTACTACTGCTTCTCTATTACTATGCTGCTTCTACTACTACCTACTAGTGCTATTTCTACTACACTATTATTATTATGTAGCGATGGACATTTACTCTGGAAAACATAACTAACCAATAATATTATTCTGTGGCAGTAGTGTCTGGACCAACTAGAAATAACACTTTCTTTCCCTAGACATTCCCTCACTGACATTCCACATCTCAGATTGTTACACATGACAGTATTTCCTTCCTCACCTAATTAAATCGTTAGCCGGCGCCAATTACGCAAAATAAAACTTCCATGTGTTTCCTTCATTTTATCTCGGTGTGGAAGGAACAGAGGGTTAACTGGTAATCTACCATTTAAAATTTTAGCCAGATAAATAGATACATCCCAGCCATAGAACAAAGGTCCTATTACTCCTCTTACAGATTTCTTGTTTTAATCTATATATGGGAGTCTTTATAGGTCTTTGACACTTATAGTCGTGGG